ATCATTATCAGCAGCAGCAGCATAAGCATCATAATCACCATCGCCGTTATTTGTCGCAGGAGTAGCATCGCTGTCAATCGTCATCAGCCTTATCAGCAGCAGCATCCTTATCAGCATTATCAAAATCGCCATCGTTATTGCCATCGTCGTCGTCGCCGCCATCATATTCATAATCAGCACCCTCATCATCATGCTCATCCATCCCCCTCCTCCTCATACTCCTCTTCATCCTCCTCCATCTTCCTTCCACCCTCCATCCCACAACGAGAAGGATCACCATTATTTCTCCTCCTCATCCTCGATCTCCAGCCGGAAAGGAGGAGGATAAGGGAGAGGAGGACGATGGGGAGGAGAATGAAGAGGAGGGGGGGGGGCGATGAGAATGCTATGAGCAATTCTTGGAGGAGGAGGAGGAGGAGGAGGAGGAGGAGGGGAGCGCGACCGCAGACTCCACACAACTTGGCGCCGGCGGATGCGAATCAGAAGGCCGCCAGGCAGGCCTGCGCAGGAAGGGGCAGCAGGGAAATGCGCGAAGGCGCGCCCAAACGCTGGGCAACGGTGGCCGAGGAGGAGAAGACGGGAGGGCAGAGGAAGAGGCGGGAGGGTCAGAGCAGATCGGATCGGCCGTCCAGTAAGGAAGGGTCAAGCCCTAGTTGCCAGGAGAGGTAAACCTCTTCGGGCCCGACTGTCGAGGAGAGCCCCTAAAGGGAGCCAGGGAAAGCTCATCGAGGCCGTAAAGTTAAGTCGGGCCTGTCCCCCTACAGGGGGATTTTCGACGAAAAATAAAAAATACCCCAAAAAATGTTTAAAAAATAGTCCAAAAATAGTCTGGGGACTATTTTTTTGGTATTGTTTGGCCTTTTTGGGGCAGTTTTGGAAGTTTTTTCATTTGTCGAAAATTCCCCTGCAGGGGGACACGCCCGACATAACCCTAAAGGGGGCCTCGAGGAGGGCCCCATAAAGGAGATCCAAACCCCAAAAACATGTCCAAAGTAGAGGCAACCCGAAAACGAAAAAGAACTCGACTCTTCAGACCTCATTCCTTCTGCCTCCGCCCCACCTCCTCGAACTCGCCCTGGTCGAGGCGGGCGGAGGAAGAGGAGGACTGAGGAGCGAGGAGGGTGGAGCGAGGAGAAGGGCGGAGCACGGACGCCCGAGGGATCCAGCTGTCGCGCCCGCCCCGCCCCAGATGGCGCCTCCAGCGCTCCGCCGGGCGGTGGCCGAGGCACGCGAGCGCGGCCCCTCGTCGGCCAGCGGCCGGTCCTGACCAGGGATCCCCGCGCCAACCCTCGACTGCAGAGGAGGACGACGATTAGGAGGGAGGGAGGAATGGAGGAAATTTCCATTTCGGGTTCGAGGTTCCAGGCTTTGGGGAAGTTCTGTCGCTTCTACGCAAACGGTTTTCTAACCTCGGGATGCTCTCCAGCGGCTGCCCCTCTTAGGGGTGCCCGGATCGTCCCGAACGGCCGCCGGAGGCCCGAGTGATGGGCCGAAAAGCAGGGAGCGTAGTAAAGGTCAGGAGCGGGGGGAGGGGGGGGGGCAGGGAAGGACGGAGGAGGAGGAAGAGGAGGAGGGAGAGAAGAAGAGGAGGACCAGAGCGAACACAAGACGCGACAGGAATGTTGCAGTATAGGACGCACGAAGACATACTAGTACTAGACGTTCTCCTTGGGGACGCGCATCCGACCCGAACATGTAGTATACCCATCTTGTAGTGTATCGTTTCCCGAGCGGCGTGGCCAGAAAGCGCTCGCCACGACGCGTACACTGTAAGATTTATCGGTGCGCGCGTCGCCCCTGGGGAGCGACGCACATATAGTAGAAATATGTTGGGGTGACGCAGACAGCACACCCTCCCGCCCCAGGCCCCCCACATTCACAAAGACCGTACAGGCCTTCCTCTTTCCGCTTCGCGGAGCGCCCCCTTGAAAGACCGGCACCCCTATGAGCCTGCCGTGCAGGCGAGAGCTCCGTCTTGAACAGGAAAGGCCTTGCAGCCTCCTCCTCCTCCTCCTCCTCCTCCTCCTCCTCCTCCTCCTCCTCCTCCTCCTCCTTGGAATGCGAGAACAGATGACCCGACAGTTCAACGAGGTGTAGAACGAGGTCCTCTGTCTTGAAAAGGACCGCCGCACCCATCGTGAAACTGTGGAGCGAATTTACACTCAGGGTCATGGACGTAGAGAAAATCTCAAGCGAGAGCCCCACTTTGAAAAGAATCGTCCTCCATACGCGCACCTACTACATATGTTGAAGCTTCTGGCCGTTGAACTAAACGCACGTGAATGTCAAGCGAGAGCCCTAGTTTGAAAAAAGAGCCACCATCCAAACTTGCAATCGCTGCAACATGGTGAAACGAGTGTGCTCGGAGCTGCAGCCGTAGCATCAATTTGAAAAAGAGCCACCGTCCACGCGGCGCTGAGGCGAGAGACCGCGTTGAAAAGAAACCGCCATCCATATCTGCAACGATTGCAAGCTGTTGAGGCGAATGTGAACGACGCTGACGCGAGAGTCCAATTTTGAAACCACCACCCCTCCATCCGTGCAACGAATGCGAATGTCAAGCTGCAGAACCATAAATGGTGAGGAGGGGTCAGGCGAAAGCAAAAGCGAACTCTATCGACACGTCTGTGGGTGCGACAGAGAAGAATTAGCTAGTTATCTCCGAAGAGAAAGGACCTCACCGTTGTCTCTTACTGTGTTTCGACATTGGGCGATGGAGAGGGGGGGGGTCTGGCTCCAGATCTTTCCGTAGCGCCACTGTTAGAAACAGTGCTTTGTACGTTGCAGTCCTACGGAGAATATTATGGTGTAGGCCGATGGGAAAGCCTGATTGGGCAACCTGAATGAGGAAACATACCGGGGAGCTCTCTGGAAGGAGCCCTCACGAGGAATCACATGGGGAATCTGGTGGGGAAAATGGGGAATCCGATGCGGGCGTCCTATGCAGAAATCCGATGTGTGAGCCCGATAGGAAAAACTATTATGGAGGAACCCTGTGGGAGGAATCTCGTGGGGAATCCCACTACGCATCCCAGCATCCCATGGGGAAGTCTCATGATTTGCAAGTCCAGACGACCCCACATCAGCTGGCTACCCCTGGGGGTCTCCTTGTTTTACAACGCAACCAGCGCCGCGGAGCCCGTCATTTTCCTCCGAGGGCCGCCCCGAAAACACAATGAACAGCTGCGCGAATCAACGAGTCGCGTGTCCAGCAGGCGGGGGGGGGGCGGGCCCCGCGCTTACTCCACCTGCTTGAAGCAGGCGCCAACAAAAGCCAAGATCTACTCCAAGGGCGGTGGGGGTGCGAGGGCCCGCGCCGATCGGCAGAACAATGGACAAGAAAACGAGCACAACCGAGGATGAGGAGATCCGCTGCTTTTCCTCACGTCCTCCTCCTCCTCCTCGTCCTCTTCCTCCTCCTCGTCCTCCTCCTCCTGCCTTCCTCCCTCCCTCCCGCCTTCCCTCCTCCCTCCCTCCTCCCTCCTCCCTCCCCCCTGCTCCCTGCTCCCTGCCTGCTCCCTGCTCCCTGCTCCCTGCTCCCTGTTTCTGTTCCATCCTCCCTCCTCCCTCCCTCCTCCCTCCTCCTCCCTTCTCCCTCCTCCTCCTCCTCCTCCTCCTCCTCCTCCTCCTCCTCCAGTTCCTCCTCCTCATCCTCCTTCTCCTCCTCCTCCTCCTCCTCCTCCTCCTCCTCCTCATCATCAGCATCAGCATCTTCATCATCATCATCATCACCATCATCATCATCAGCATCACCAGCATCACCATCATCATCATCATCATCATCATCATCCTCCTCCTCATCATCATCATCCTCATCATCATCCTCATCATCATCATCATCATCATCATCAGCATCATCAGCATCATCATCATCATCATCATCATCATCATCAGCATCATCATCATCGTCATCATCAGCAGCATCGTAATCAGCATCAGCACCATCGTCATTATCATCATAATCACCATCATCACCACCATCATCATCCTCACCATCAGCAGCAGCAGCATCACCATTAGCATCATCATCACCCTCGTCATCATCAGCAGCAGCAGCATCATCTTCATCAGCATCAGCATCGTCGTCAGCATCATCATCAGCATCATCACCAGCATCCTCAGCATCATCATCATCATCATCATCAGCAGCAGCATCATCATCTCCATCATCATCATCATCAACAACAACAGCATCAGCAACATCATCATCATCATCATCAACATCAACATCAGAAACATCATTAGCATGACCCACCTAATCAGCATCCTCATTATAATCATCATCCTCATCATTTGTCACAGCATATTAACCAGTATCATCGTCATCATCGCCATCATCATCGTCAACATCATCAGCATCATCATAACCGACATCAGCACCATCATCATAAGCATCAGCAGCATCACTATCATCATCCGCATCGTCATCTTCATCAGCATCGCCATCAGCAGCATCATCAACATCATCAGCAGCATCATCATAATCAGCAGCATAATCATCATCATCATCATCAGCAGAATCAGCATCAGCAGCAGCATCAGCATCATCATCCTCATCAACAGAATCAGCATAATTATTATCATCCTCACCATCATCATCATCATCATCAGCACCATCATCATCATCAGCATCATCAACAGTATCCTCATCATCGTTAGCATTATCCTCCTCCTCCTCATCCTTATACTCCTACTCCCACTCCTCCTCCTCCCCCTGTCTCCTCCTCCTCCTCCTCCTTCTCATCCTCCTCCTCCTCCTCCTGTTCCTGGTCCTCCTCCTGCTCGTCCTCCTCTGCATCCTCCTCCTCCTTCTTCTCCTCCTCCTCCTCCTCCTGCTCCTCCTCCTCCCACCCCAAACATCCCCTTGCACCCTTGATTCCTCGATTCCTCGATCCGTCGATTCCTCGATTCCCCGATCCGTCGATCGGCGGACGTTCGGGACGATCCAGCCACCCCCGAAACGCTCTCGGCGTGGCACAGCTGCTGGAAAGCATCGCGAGGCTGCAAAGCCGCCGAAAACCAACGAAGACGCCTGGAACCCTCGAACCTCAAACCCGAAACTGCCCTCGATTCCTCGATCCCCCCGCCCCTGCCGACCCCCGCGGATCGCTGGCCTCGGTGCCCGCGCCGCCGCCGGCGCCGAAACGGGGGCGCCCGGCACGCAAGTCTGGGCAGCAAAGGCGCCCGAGGAAGAGAGGGGGAGAGGGAGAGGAAAAGAGGATGAGGCGGGGGAGGAACAGGAGGAAGAGGAGCAAGAAAAAGAAGAAAGGAGGGAGCGGGAAGAGAAGGAGGGAGGGAGGTGAAGGGGGGGCGGAGGGAGAGGGGGGAGAAGAGGGATGGGGGGGGATGACCAGCAAGGCGCAATCGCACCACATCTGAGATCCTACTCTTCCACAAATCCCATTCCATTGAGCTTAATGATTATACCCGCCAACGGGGGTGTCCTAGAAAAAACCTTGGTCATCAAAACTACCCCGTCCTGTGATGCGCAGAGATGTAGCGGGAGTGAGGTTTTGCAGGTGGAGGTGCTGGATGAGCACGAGGATGGGCAGGAGGAAGAGCAGCATGAGGAGGAGGAGGAGGAAGAGGAGCATGAGGAGGAGGAGGAGGAGGAGGAGGGGGAAGGAAGAGGAGGAGGAAGAGCAGCAGCGGGAGTAGGAAGAGCAGGAGGAGCGGGAAAATCAAGGGACGGCGAATGCGGGGAAAGGAGGGGGACGGCGACGACGAGAAAGGAATCGGATCCAGAAGCGTGGCCCGAGAAAGGAATCGGGTCCAGGAATGTGGTCCGCGCTTGGCCGAGAGCACCATTCTGTGAGAAGGGGACAAAACGCCGATCCTCGAATGCCGCCAGCGCTGCACGGGAGCACCCTGGTTGAAGAACAAAACAATCTGACCCCAAAAAACAGCGAAGACAATACAAATAATGAAATCCAGGCGGCGCCCTGCACTGGACAGCATGGGGGAAGAGAGGAGAGTGGCACGCATATTGTCTGACTGCGGAGAGGGCGAGGGGGAGGGGGAGGCGGATGGGGAGGAGGGGGAGGAGGAGGAAAAGGAGGAGGAGGATGAGGAGGCGGCTCAAATGGAGGAGGAGGAGGCAAGGGGAGGGCGGGAGGGCGGGAGGGGGGGGCAGGGAAGGGAGGAGGACCGGCGAGCTTTCTCGCACACGGACCCAAGCCAGGGCAAGGGCCCTCCAAAAACGAGGAGAAGGCACGAGGAGGGGAAGAGCCGAATGACGCAGAGTCACACTGGGGGACCTTTAGCACAACAATGGAAGAAACATGCGGTGTCATCGCTTGCTCGCTTCTTCTTATTATTATGAATATTATTATTAGGATTATGACTCGTACGAGCTGCTACTAATACGCATGAGAGTAGTACGTTCTATTGGTTGTATGATTATTATGTGTAACAGTAGCAGTAGCAGTAGTAGTAGCAGTAGAAGTAGAAGTAGTAGTAGTAGTAGTAGTAGTAGTCGTAGAAGTAGTGGTAGTAGTAGTAGTAGTAGTAGTAGTGGTAGTAGTAGTAGTAGTAGTAGTAGTAGTAGTCGCCGTAGTAGTTGTAGTAGTACACGAGTAATCGTAACAGTACTAGTTAGTAGTAGTTAGTAGTAGTTAGTAGTAGTAGTAGTAGTAGTAGTAGTAGTAGTAGTAGTAGTAGTAGTAGTAGTAGTAGTAGTAGTAGTAGTAGTAGTAGTAGTAGTAGTAGTAGTAGTAGTAGTAGTAGTAGTAGTAGTAGTATAGTAATAGTAGTAGTAATAGTAGTAGTAGTAGTAGTAGTAGTAGTAGTAGTAGGGTCACATCTGACTTATGGCCGGTGAGGTTTGGGTTTGGGTTTGGGTTTGGGTTCGGGTTCGGGTTCGGGCTCGGGTTCCTTTGTTTTCTATTGGGAACCAATTGTTTAAATTAGCTTTCTGTTGGAAACCAATGGTTTGGCTTCGTTTTCTATTGAACACCCATGGTTCTAATTAGTTGTCTATTGGAAACAAAATGTTTTAAATAGTTTCCCGTTGGAAACCAATGGTTAGGCTTCGTATTCTATTGAACACCCCATGGTTTTAATCATTTTTCCAATGGGAACCAATGGCTTCAATTAGTTTTCCACGGGGAACCAATAGATTTAACTAGTTTTCTATTGGGCACCAATGGTTTGCATTAGTTTTCGAACGGAAACCAACGGTTTTAATTAGTTCTCGATTGGAAGCCAATGGTTTTTATTAGATTTCTATTGGGGGGGCAATGGTTTCAATTAGTTTTCTATTCGAAACCGATGGTTTTAATTAGTTCTCGATTGGAAACCAATGGTTTGTTTTATTCGTTTTCTATTGGGAGGCAATGTTTATTGTTAGCCTTCTATTGGAACCCAATGGTTTTAATTAGTTCTCTATGAGAAACCAATGGTTTCAAATAGTTTCCTATTGGATACCAATGGGTTTTTTTGGTTTCGATTGGAAACCAATGGCTTGTTTTATCAATTGTTCTATTGGAAACCAATGGTTGC